TTTATTTTTAATGCTTAATATAATTAATCTATGCCTAAACCAAGAGAACTAACAGTTAAAGAGTTATTTAAAGTTTGTATGTTTGTGGAATGTGAAGTTTTCAGTTTTGTGGAAGGTAAAATATAATTGAATGAAGAAGAATTCGAAATACATGGTGGGTATATAGCACCAGGTGTATAGATGACAAAACTGCGGAGTTGTACATTAGGAAATCATTTTGTAGAACATAAAACAACATAAATTGCTTTTTGTCATTGTTATAATTTTTTTTTTAAATTCAATTTTTTATACCGTCATTTCTTGAAATTAGTTGTAATCAATCTCATACAAATTTTAAATAACTTTTTTTGTTTAAATAACATTGTATCATATGATATCTAAATTCATATACCGTAAAAAGATTTTTTTATTAATTATTCAGTGAAATAAGAAAAAAAGTAATCAATTACTAGAAATTATTTGCTGAAAAATTATTATTAAATTTAACATTTACTGTATTTAAAAAGCAAAACAAAAATCATTAAAAGTTATACAATTAAATAATAATATTAAAATTTACGACTACTAAATTAAATATCGAAATACAAATACTTTTTTAGAATTATTTAACCTAACAATATTAAATATAAGCAATTAAATTAAGCCTTAAAAAATAAACTATTATTAAGAATTTATTTAATTATTTTTCGCATGGAACATATTTCCTGTGAAACGAACCAACAGCCGTTGATGTTAAGACTGAGATTCTTATGAAATTTCTTTTTTGCAAAAGTACTCGTTGAAAAAACACTAAAATATCTTTTTTTTTATTTCTTGGATTAAAGCAATGGTTGCTGGGATATTAACAATTACTGGGATTTTTATACAATTTAACAAAATGGTGTAACCAGAGATAGTGGCTCATAACATATGCTCATATCGTGACTCATAATCGTTCATAACATTTTTATATTTTTGAAAATTTATTTAATTTTGGGATCATTAGAAGGAAAAAAATAATGACTTTGAAATTCAGTTATTAAAATGCTGTGATCTATACATAAGTGGTTATAAGTTTTCTTGAAATAACTTTTGGGAAAATATTTTGAAAGCTTTTTTTACGGGGAATCACAATTTTATACCATTTCGATTTTTCCCTTTGCTATAAAACACTATATTTTTAATCACACAAAAAAAAAAGAAAATAAAGAGAAATTGAAAGAGTATTTTTTAGTCTTAGTCAATTATTATTATTAAATTATTATTATTATTATTATTGTTACTATATATTAGTTTTTGGCCAGAATATTTGAAGCACTTCTTATAATAAAATAGCAAAATTCTCCAATTTCGTTTATTACATGTTTTTCAACATGAAAAATCAAATATTTTGTTAGGTCAAGAAAGAATGTAAAGTGGTCTCAACCAAAATATTAATTATGGTGGAAATTGAAGGTGGGAATTGAAGAAAAAAAATTCAAAGTTCCAATAATTTTTAAAAAAATTTTTTTTAAATTTTATTACCAAATTTTATTTATCTTTTAACAACCAAAACCGAAAAAATTACTTTCGATATTTTCAACAAACAAATGCTGGAACAAATTATGAAAATTGCTAGAAGAAAAATCAAGTAAGAAAATTATTATCGATGAGGAAAAACTTTTAAATTTTTGCCAGAAATATTAACTTTCAACACTATTGCTGTAACTTCGTTAGAGAAAAAGTTATTTAAGTTCGCATGGTGAAGTCGCGTTGCTATTAGATGGGTTTGATGAGATCGTTTCAAAATATAAAGATATAATGATGGAATTATTAAACGTTTTGAAGAATTCTAAAAAGGAAAAGCTCTTTATAGCTACTCGGGCTCACTTGAGGAATTTTCTGGAAAGCAAATTAAACTAATATCGTACACTTTATAACTTAAAAAGAGATCAAGTTAAGTTTCTTGAAAAGTATTGGAGAAAAACACCAGATCTTACCGGTACGAATGAGAAGAGTTTTGAAACTTATTTCAAAGCACTACTTGATTGCGTATCACAGTCTATTTGGGACGAAGATAATGAATTTACCGGGAATTCTCTAATATTAAAAAAAACTCTTGCAGATGTTCTTCAAACTGAATTCAAAAATGTGTTTAACTCTAAAATCCAAGATGGATACACTTTTCCCAAAAATCTGAATGTATTGAACTCGTATACAATTTTAACAGAAGATAAGTTTTTACTTCATTTAGAGGAAAAAGACCAATTCGATTTTTCAAAATCAGACAATATTATTAAAAGTGTATGGGATAATTTTGAAAAAAAAAAGAGCATTCTTTGTTAGTTTTTAGTAGCCAATTTTGGGACCAAAAGCTGGAGAAAAAAATTTTCTTAAGACAAAATGGAGAAATTAAAAATATATAAGGAGGAAGTTAAACGAGGGAAAGAAAATTTGGGTTTCATTAGTACTGTGGTTAATTTTGAGCTGATCTTTACACACTCAAGTTTTGCAGCATATTTTGCAGCACTTTTTATCTTCAGAAACTACAAGAAAAAGAAAACAGAAAAAACATTTTACCGTGAGAGTATTTCCGGGCAACGAAATGAATTAACTCGCAATTTCCACGATGATATCTGAAGACGAAGATAAATATGTGAAAGGAGAATTTGAAAGTAGTCCCTTTAGATACTCTGATAAAAGTGATGGTTGGAAAAAAATTCTACGTCCTTCGAAAGAAGATTTTGACATTTTAATCATTCTTATATATATATATATATATATATATATATGCAACAGAAAACGAAAAAAAAATTGTTCCCCAGTGTAATTAGTATGAAACAAAACAAAACGTTTTAATTATGAACAAGGAAGAGATGACAGCCTTAAGAATTTTTTATTGAATCATTTTTCAAAGTTTTACTTATTATTAAGTTTCAGGCGATAAAGTAGGCCTAAATTCAACGTAGAATGCCTTATTATAAAGGACTTTTCATTTATATGTAAACCCTTATATACAACTTTCGTTTTTTGGTAAATTTCAAAATAATAGTTTCATTAATTTTAATTTTATAGAGTTTAACTCTAACCATTGTATTTATGCAAATTTTATCTTCGTAAAACAAAGATGCTTTATTTTTTTATTTTTTAGCACCACAGAAAGAAGTAAATGACATTCAAGTTTTTTTTTGCATTAAAATTGCTCTTAGGACTAGAACAAATTTATTTTTCGATTCTATTAAAATTCAGTCAACATAATGGTTGTAAAGAAACATTACATTTTTTTCAAGAATCCTTATTTCAATGAAAATGCCAAGTATTATCTNCTTGCGCGCATCCATTTTCGGGCCCACCCAAGGTAACTAACAAATTAGACGCGCTTCAGTTTTGCAGTAAGAACGTGCCATAAGATATCACTTTATTTATGCTTCTGTTTTCATATATTGTAATCTGGCAATCTTATTACGAAAATATTATAAATCATTCTTGAAAGATTCCGGTACGGGTAAGTTCATTTAATTCGTTCCTCACTATGTAGATTTCCTTTCGTGTACTGTTATCTAAAGTCTTTACATTTTATTTTCAGTTTTTTGCTTGATATATTTGTTTGTTTTTCCGTACATATTTTTTACTTAATGTGTTCCAATTTCGTTTAAATTTTTTGATATATTTTGCTTTGGCTATATTAATACAATATTAGAAAGCACTCCTTTTGCGGATATGATCGTGTGAGCTGATGAAGAGATTATATCTTTTCTTAGTTTTGTTTTCCAAATTTTAATGATTTTTTTTTTCATGCATGCCTTCTTATGCAATAATCATCCTGATGATATGCCCTAAGCTTATGAGAAGTTGGTCGCAACATCCACGTGATCTCCTGTTATGTTTAACGTTTTTAAAGTTGTAGATTTCAACGAAAAATAAACTTAAAAAGTCATTTTAAGAAAAGTCTCCAGCTTTAGGTGCGAAACTAATCTCAGGTTTGAAATCTCCACATCCAAATTAGGCAAGATCAACTGTTTGTAAAATTGAAACACAATTTTTCCCCCAGTGCTATCTGTCTTTTTCACCTGATATAATAAGTAATACTTATTTTTGCCATGGAAAAACTGTATTGACAATTTTATAAAACCAAAAATAAATGAAATCCAAAATCAACCAAAAATAAAATTGAAATTTTAATTAAACCTTTATTAAAGAAAACTGTGTCGAAACCAGTCGGATAACTTAATAAAAAAAAATTGTGTTTAGGAAAAGTAAATTTTAAGCTGAATTTTGTTGTTCAATTGGTTACACTAGTATTTAATTTTGCAATGCTTCAACTACTTGCAATGCTTCAATTACAATTTATTGATATTCAACTGCTTATAATGCTTCAATTACTTACAATGTTATTTAATTACTTACAATATTATTCAATTACTTACAATGCTTTAATTCCTTACAGTTTTATTCAATTAGTTACACTGCTTTAATTACTTATAATATTATACAACTATTTACAATTTTATTCAAATACTTACAATTTTATTCAATTACGTACAATGTTATTCAGTTACTTAAAATTACAGTGTTACTCAATTATTAACCATGTGTATAGTGATAAATTAGTATATCTTAAAAGTGTGATTGGACAGCATAAAATACTTAGTGCGTAAAAAACCGAATTTTATGCCAAAAATTTCAATATTCTTTATACACAGTCATATATTTTTAAAGATAATATCTCTCTCCGCTATTCGCCACTCAATCCGTCCTCCTGTTTTGCTTTTATGTTTCTTAATTTATGATTGTCAACCAATTTTATTTTGAACCATTATTTATTATCATTAAAGAGCCAATTATATTTTTATGAGTAATCGGCTTAACCCTTAGTCGTAGATCAGACACCGATGTCCCTTTAATGCACTTCTTCTGACTGTCTAATTAAAAGCAAAAATATATTTTGATGTTTCTTAATTATAGAAAAATCAATCAAATTACTACTAAAGAAGATGTTAGATTATCGGAATTAAATTTGTATAAAAATATTTAAAAAAAACTTGTTTGAAAAAAAACTTTTATTCGTTTTATTAAAATGTATGTGCAATTGAATACGTTGCATCCCAACAGTTTAGAGTTTGTTCAGATAAGACAACTGAAATCTGGATTTCACAAAATATTTTTACAGACATTACAAATTTTTTAATATATGTGTCTTTAGTAACATATTATTTAATATGTGTGTTTGCATCATAATCCATCAAAGTTTGTTCAGATAAAATAATTGAAATCAGGATTTCACAAAATATTTTAACGGCCACTACAGAAATTTTATTAAAATGTTTGTTTAATTGAATGGGCTGCACAATAATAGATCAAATTTTGTTCAGGTAAGATAACGGAAATCTGGATTTCCACTAAATATTTTAGCAGTCATTACGATTTTTTTAATATGTATATATTTAGCAACATTGCAACACAATCAACGGAATTTTGTTCAGATTAAATAATTGAAATCAGAATTTTAACAAAATATTTTAGCAGCCACTACAAACATTTTATTAAAATATATGTGTAATTGAATACATTGCACCAGAATAGATCAAATTTTGTTCAGATAAGATAACTGAAATCTGGAATTTCACAAGACAAAACCTTGAAAGAGTTCGAAGACAATCTTGAAGAGTTTGAAGACAAAACCTTGAAAGAGTTCAGCTGAGGCATCCTCCTCCTGTAAATTGCCATGAGCAAGTTTTTTTTTTAATAAAAGATAAATAAATAAATAATAAAATAAAAAAACGTGAACTTATTAATACAGCGACTAAACTATTTATACCTTGAGACATCAAGTGGCATTTCTAAGTATCTGAAGGCAACATAGACACTAATTTATTAAAACAAATATTTGGTTAGATATCAGAAGATAATTTTGAATGTTTTAGTCAGTCCATTGTTCATTCAAATTAATCACAATTTTATTTTAACCACGTGGAGATTATATCTTGGGGCAGTTTAGCTTTATGCACTTTGGGACACATTTTATCCATAAAATTTTTAATAACAATATTATAAGCCCCATCAACTTGAGGATGCTTTCGTCCGATTCGCTGTAAATTGATACAACCGACCGCTATACCTCACTCGTCTAGATAGCAAAGTTTATACCTCTTTTTACCCTTTTCCCTTGTCATGGTTCCAAGTGTACAAAATCACTTTTCTTTCCTTACAAAGCTTAATGAAAAAAATTGGGTCAATTGCAACTTATCAGTTTCTTGAGGATCTAAATATGGCTTTATTTAAAAAAACTTCTTGTAATTTGAAAAATGATTTTAAAAAGAACACTGAATTTCAAATTCGGAACAGATTAGAAATATATTTTTATTTATTAGTACGGAAGAAACAAATTACAACAATTCTTGTCGTTTTAAACAAATGGTTCGTGCAAAATAATAAGTTGAAATTGTGGAATAAATTCATTTTATATTGATAATCTTAAGAAACAACTAATTATTCAGCCAATTTCTAAATTAAACACGAAGTTTGTCAATGGATGGTTCTTCTCACTGAAAAAATGTAAGACTGAGTTATCTATTGAATATCCAAACGGATACAATTGCATGAATGTCTGTTAATTTTGTCATCTGATTGCTCCCCGTTGTTTTTATGAAGAGTGGTAATTTTAAAAACAATGTTGACTCAGCAGCACTAAGTTCGAAACTAACATTGAAACTGAGGGAAAATAAAATTCTTCGGTTTCCTCAGCAGTGAGTAGTATACCTTACATTTCAATATATTTCAAATTTTTTTTCACTTACTTTTCAAATATTTGGTTATTTTTGGAATACCCGGTAAAAGTAACGGTTCCATCAGATCTAATACTGAATCACTCATAAAAAATGTTTCTGGTTTATAAAATTTTCAGTTCTCCTCACATTATTGTATTGATATATTTTGCTTTGGCTTGTTTGTAAGTATAACAAAATAATTTCTGAAATGTTGCAATGTTAAGTTTTTTAATTGTAATAAGTTTTTGTACACTGATATTTGGAACATATTTATGAAAACAAACATATGTAACAAATGTATTTAACAAACATACTATCTTATACTATAATACGAGGAATGGTTGCCAAGTCTAAAATCGCCCCAGAATTAATAAACTCCGGTAAACTTGGGGGTCTGGGGTTTTTGGCCACGAGGAATCGATTGGCGCCGGTTTTGAAGCGCTACGGTCGAGCAGTTCGGAGTTACAGATAGGATATTTTCAAACTTTATTAGTTCGCCAATAATGGCTATAGATACTTTTCTCCACTCTTATAAATGTATGCTAATGCGAACCTTACAATTGAAATATTAATTTTCGACAACTTAAACCAATAATATACGAAGGAATTAATAATTTAATTGTAAGGTTCGCATTAGATTACATTTATCAAAGTGGAGAAAAGTTTAACTTTTGTGTTAATTCACCGTCAACAAAGTCCGACATTTCAACATTCGTCAGATTTCAAGCTACATTTTCAACATGCAGAACGCACCTCTCCATGAAATTCTTCAAGGAGCCGGAAATTTGGAACAACAAGCGATCAACTCAATTCTACCCGCAAATGGACAACTAGAAGATACCGTCATTGTCAGAATGCTTCTCCATTACGCCGAACAAGCTTACCCGACCGTCAAAGTTGCAGTACTTGACCCTGAATTTGTCGCACGCTTCTACGTTACAACAGCGGATGGCGCTTATGAAGGAATGGCTCTTCTCAACGATATCAGCGACCAGAACAAGGCTTCCAACTATCTATACGGCGTTCAACAAGGATTCGACGTGCTACTCATTCCCATTCACAAGAGAGCTCAAATGGATAGAGGCGAGCACTGGATGCTAGGAATTTACGAAGCAAGCTATGGAGAACGTCAACTATTAGTCTGCGATCCAGTCGACAACCCGCTGCCCATCGATGCTGTTTTGAGAAAAATACTGCGACACGTTTTGAATACCGTTGTTACGAATGAAAAGCTGAAAGGATGCATCGTGAA